GTGGCGGCGATAAGCAGCAATTCCCGACAATTTGTTGACGGATGATCGATAAGGGGCGCTGGGCGGCTTCCTCCGCTCCAATCGCCGAACCTGCGGGTGATGGAAAGAAAAGATGGGCACTGCAATATCCACCATGAAACATCAGATAGGAACGCATATCAAATTCAACTTGAAGCAGACAAATTACGCTGAAAAATACAGTGCAACATTTACAAATAATTCATACACATGTAGCCCCAGCATGGCTCGTCTAGACCCCAAATACATACAGACGATAGCGACGTGACAAACAAGAGCAAGGATAGTTCGAAGTTGGAACGGGTTTTGTCCCCAATCAGTCGTCAAAGGTATAACGCAGCCACTCTCCAACAGCTCGCAAGCTCTCCCACCTGACGGCTTCGTCCTTGTCTGCCATCAATTCCATCACCCGCGTCTTCAAGCCCAATTTCTCCAGCTGTGCCCGCCGTTCGGGAAGCTCTTTGACCAGATGACCCACATCATTACATCCAATCGCCAGCACCTGCTTATCGTTGTCCCAGTTCTTGGACAGAATCTCTGCGAGCTTCTTGGGCAATGCGCCATTGTTGTCGTCCAAGATGCGCCGTGCGTTATCCTTCCAGAACGTGGGGTTCCGGTGCGGAGGCGACCACCGCAGGTGGCCCGACTGCAGTTCAGCCGCGTACTGGTCAAACGTCGTTTGCGTCTTCGTGTATTCATCCAGGAGCTCCTTTAAAGCCTGAAGGTCCTCCAGCAAGTCTTCATCGGTCAAGTGGCGACCCGAGAGATTCGTCAGCAGCGCGGGCAGGCGAACAAAGACGGCCACTGGAAGAAGAGTCGTGCGGTTACTGGACAAGAGATTATTGAGCGTGGCGAGGAGTAGACGGGTCGTTTTCTCTTTCGGAGACAAGCGGAGGAGGTTTGTGTAGAGCTGAACGAATTCGTAGTCACTAGAAGGCGTACGTATTAGCTTCACCGCTCGCACGGACTACGCGCACATCACGTACTTCTGCAGATCTTCCCCGACCAAACTACCCTCAAAACTCAGCTGCCATAGCACCAGCAAGACTCTGTAGAGGAGTTGGAGGCCGATGCCACCTGCAAGACCAGGCTCGATCCCGCGCGCACTGCCCGCCAGGGTGCTTGAACTGCTGTCTTTAGAGCCCGTTGCGGCTCGCAGAATCTCGATCAGAGGATCGACAGTCTGTTTCCGTTGCTGCCAGAAAAGTTCACGCGCTCTAGCAGTGCGAAGAAGTGCGGACAGCTCCTGGACCCCGATATCCTGCAGCCCGCTGTCTTGGTTCTGGGTCAGAGTGGAGAGGTAGGTGTACAACTGCGGAAGCGCCTCATCATCCCGCGGCGCTGGCTTCGAAGAGGAGAACAGGCTGACCGATACCAGGTTTGTCAAGAAGGTGGAAGTGAGGAGAGGAATCGGGTCTTCAGCATTGGTCGAATGACGCAAGAGGGGAAGGAATGACTTGTAAGGATTGGGGTGGGCAACCAGAGCTGTTGCGAGGGAGGGAACATCTAATAATCATTAACAACAGTTGCCACAATAGCTGGAAAGATAGAGACCCACCGTTGATCAAATCCGCGGCCAGCACGAGGATGCATTGCACGATGTCGGTTCGTCTGGCGGCGGAGTCCAGCACACTCTTGCTCTCGGGCCCGCCTGCCAGCAGACTAACATACCCTGCGAGATCGCCCTCAACCGTTTGACGCCGTTGCTCTTTGCGAACCTTATCAACTGCCTTGATCTTCTTCAGGTGTTCATCAGTGATGTTGCCAGCTCGAACAGCTCCCTCCCAAGGGATAGGGCGAGCTCGGATGTTGTTCTGCAACGAGCTGAGATACGTAGGCGGCTCAAGGGGCAACGAAGACATGATGGATCCTGGGAACAGAGGGGCAGGAATCCAGGTGGAAAGAAAATGACAACAATCGGAAGGGAGTATCAAAGCAATCCAAAAGGAGGGGGTGGGAGAAGGAAAGATGGAGAGGTGAGTGGGTGGAGGAGGATAGACGGAGGTGGTTCGGGCCCGTCCGAATGATGATGTGGGATTGATTGATTGATTAACGCTCATCCATTCCATCGATCGCCAAGCCCGGCCGGTTGTGCTGCAACTTCTCCGTCCACGCAAGCTGCACCATCCCAGGCTGCCATCTGGCTTCCCGCGCAGGGACAGCGTCCTCTTGTCGTATCTCTTGCATCGCCACGTTCTTTCTGCTCGAATTGACTCTTCGACGTGCCGTTCACCCCCCGAGAGTCTCACGTTCATTTCCTTCCAACCTTGCCTTCCCCACTCGGTGACAACAACCAACAAGCATATCGCACCGACCTCTTGAAATCGCGACTGTTCCTGACATACGATCCGATCGCTACTGAACTACACAATAGGCGATCGCGCCATTCGCACATGGAATAAAGCAACGGCGGAGATTGCAACAAAGCACCTAGGCCGTCACCATGGCGCAGAATCCACAGAGCAACAAGCCCAAGTGGAAGGTCGGGTCTTTTTTACAACAGGCTGTCGCGGGCGTGGAGTCCAGACTCGACCAAATATTAGCGGAGGAGGAGGATCAAAAACAAGTACAAGCGAAGAATGCTGCTACAAAACCCAAGCCGACGGAGCAAACCGGAAGTATGATCCATTCTGTCCTCTGCAGATCCATCGGATTGCTAATTGTGACCAGACCTTTCCCGCAGCTCCTCCAATGCTCGGAAGAATGACCGGCTTCAGGAGCGCCTCGCCCGAGCAATGGCGAAGAATTCGCCGGGTCCTCTTGCCACACAAGGCTCCAGTCGAACCTCATCACCTGTTACTAGTCCGGTTCCCAGCAACGGCACCCGATCTAGCATGGACATCGATTCCAGCCTCAGATCATCATCTGTGAATCCAGGGAGGCACTCGCGAAGCTCGAGTCAGGTCGAGGATGCCTCGGTTGTAGCCGAGTCGCGTAACAGCTACGATTCAGGCCCCCCGCGAGAGTCAAACGACATCAGCAGGCTATCAACCGAAAGCGTATTGCCTCCGCATGCGCTTGCAGAGAATGATGATAATGTCGCTCAGAGCCCTACCCTTGAGGAGGCACAATTGTCTGCAGATGGATCGAAAGTCTCTGCGCCTACAGTATCGGTTTCGTCGATGGAGCCTGCTGAGGAGACTAGCAATGATTTATCGAATGGTCAGGAAAGGCCTGTCCGCAAATTGCAACCCGAGGCCGAAACCGTTGAATCTCAACGGCAAGAAGAGATATACGGTTACATCGAGCGGATCGATGCACTGCAGTCGAAGCTCAAATACCTTGCGAAAGAGGCTGCCGAATCCGCCAAGCAGGCTGCGACTGCAGCGGAGCCTGGCAGCGTGGAAAGACAGCTAAGGGAAAAAGACGAAAAGATAGCCCTTCTTCTCGAAGAAGGTCAAAAGCTGTCCAAGACGGAAATGGACCATCGAACGGCTATCAAGAAGTTGAGGCAGCAGTTGATGGATAATGCGAAAGCCCAAACTGAAGTCAAGAAAAAGACCGATAAACTTGAACGCGATCTTGCTAGCGCAGAAACTCGAGCCAAACGAGCGGAAGCCGCCGAGAAGAGAGCCAATGATTCTCTCTCGACACAGACCAAGACGTCACAAGATTTCGAGGCGGTGATTGCAGAACGCAATGCTCTAAGTCAAACTGTACAGGAAATGAAGGGACAGCTTGCACGAGCCGTCGCTCGAGCGGAGGCGGTTGAAGCTAAGGCACAATCCGAGGCACTCGAACAGGAAAAGCGCCGCGCCTCTCAGTTGGAGGAGGACCTCTCTAGCGTCAAAATAGAAAGAGATATCAGCGAAGGGAAGATGAGGCGCGAAATCAGTGGTCTGCAGGCTACCATTGAGCAGGAGAGAGAGCGCGCTCGCATGCTTGAAGTGGAACTCAAGGGTGAGCAATCGATGCTCGAAAGTAAGATGGAGTCCCTTCGCTTTCGAGCCGAAGAAGCTTCGACTGGAGTGGCTGGAGACACTCAGGTCAAACTGCTCCGTCAGATTGAAACTCTTCAGACTCAGTACGCCGTAGCTAGCGAAAACTGGCAGACATTGGAGGGTTCGTTGCTTGCTCGGTTGGCGAATGTTGAAAAGGAGCGGGATGAAGCCGCACGGCGCGAGAGCGAGATGCGACGGAAGATCCGTGAGATGGTGAGCATCCTACTCGTGTAAAACTTTATCAGGTGACTGTGGGCTAACCAAGCGATGCAGAATCTGAAAGTCAAACGTATCGAAGAAGAGCTCGAGACCGCGAAAGAGACTGAGCACGATCTCCAGAGTCAACTCGAGGAGGCAACTGAAGAGATCAAAAAGCTGGAACAGAAACTCAGAAAAGCCACGGAGGATCTGGACTTGGCTCGGAAAGATTTTGCAGAGCAGCAGAAAGTGATCGATGCCACATGGACACAGAAGCTCGAGGACGAGCGCCTGAAATTGCGTGAGCAAATGTCTCCACCGCCGGTCTTCTTGCAACAGCCTCGAACACAGTCTCCAGTGGCCTACAGTCGTCGGCCGAGTGCTCTAGAGCCCATCGGAACGTTGTCCGATTATCGACCAAGCAGTCGACGTCCCTCGACGTTACCAACATCGCCTGACATGGGCAATCTCTCACGTCAGAACTCATTTCCTTTGTCCACTCAGTCCATTCTCTCGCCCTCGACTGCAACCAGCTCGATACATCTACCAATCCCAGAGACGCCCTCAATCAACTTCGAGCACGATGAACTCTTCAGTCACTCTGCGACCCCCTCCGCCTATGGTGGGGCACCCACGCAGCACTCGCGCGGCATTAACGATATCATCTCAGAGTCCACAGTTGGCGCAGGGCCCTCAGTACAGTTAGTTGAACGTATGAGTGCCACCGTCCGCCGGCTCGAGAGCGAACGCGCCGCATCGAAGGACGAGCTTTCTCGGATCACCGCGCAGCGCGACGAAGCCCGGCAACAGGTCGTGGATCTAATGCGGGAAGTTGAGACGAAGCGAACTTCTGATACACGTGTGCACGAGCTTGAACAGCGGCTTGATGAGCTCGACCAGCGGTACCAGACAACCCTCGAAATGCTGGGAGAAAAGAGCGAGCAGGTGGAGGAATTGGAGGCAGATATTGCCGATCTCAAGAAGATTTACCGCGAGTTGGTCGACAGTACGATGAAATGAGGCTATTGTCTCTATGTACCCCGCCCTGTTTTACTGCTGAGATCTTTCCCTTTGTACATAGAGTCTTTTCTCCGGGCTAGATCACTCTAGACGATGTTATGTGATGCATGTCTGCTTGTTGAAAAGAATCATTGAAACAGTCTTGAGCCTGGAAAAGACTCCGGGTATCCAGTCTAATTATTTATTGAGGATCTGTTGGTCTCGGACATTTTTTAAACCCCACCGCATCTTTAGTCCGCAACCCTATAAATCAATCCCCTCTCTCTCAGCCGTTTGTAAAATGTAGCTTCGGACCTACTCAGTAGTTAGCGTGGGGGCACCCTGCCTAAAAGTACGCAAGCCCTACCTTGTTATCCGGTGCCATATCGATTGCCAGCATCCCGCTGGAATCTCTCTTGTCTGCCTCCGCACCGGCCTTGAGTAGCGTGATCGCCGCATCGCCGTGTCCCTCCGAGATCGCATGATGCAACGCCGTCAGCCCGTCGATATCGGTCGCATTGACAGGACTCTTGCCATCCTCGAGTAAGACTTTGATAATGGGCGTGGAACCGATAGCCGCAGCCCGATGAAGCGCGAGCTGGCCGCGTCTATCCTTGACCCGAGCGCTGCATTTGTTGGCAATCAGTGTGCGGACAGTGGAGAGGTTGGCTTTGGAGGTCGCAAAGTGAAGGGCGTTCTTCAACGAGCGTTATTAACAGCAGTTCGGTACCATTTCCGATGGCAGTAAGTGATCTAGCTCGCTGGATACGCACCTGTCCGGACGAGCTCTTAACGCTGACATCTGCACCTTTCTTCAGCAGGAGATCAATTATGGGATCTCCTTCGGCGTTTTTCAAGCTAGCTGCAATCATCAAGGGAGTCCAGCCGGATCCATCCTAACAGGCTTCTTTAGCAGGCCTGGGCTATCATGCGTTCTCTCTTGAATGCCATACCTCGACGTCGGGGTCAAAGTGCTTGTTCGAGATGAGAAGCTCCACAATCGGCAGGTGGTTGTAGGCTACAGCCCAGTGGATGGGAAGACGCTCATCGTCATCTTTGGTGGCAGCGAGCTTGGGATTTGCCTGACTATGCTGTCAGTTGACATATTTCCACTCGTCATTTCGTGCGGGGATAGCTCTTACGCTTAAGAGAGATTCGGCCGTGGAGACTATGTAGGTTAGCTAGAGATCTGAGTCTGACGGTTGGGCAGGATGAAGAGACCTACTTTTTCCCTCTCGAGCAGCCTCATGAAGAGGATACTTAGCTTCAGTGCTAGCGTTCATGATTAATGCAGGTGGGTTATTGCTTGTTTCTTGTTTGCGGCGGGGTTGATTTGATGATCCGATTGTTGGCCTGAAGATGCGGAGAACCGCTGCCTCGACACCTCATTTACGCCTTAGGCATCGACATCCGCGGAAAACCAGAGCTTCGCTTCTCCAGTCCGCAGCTCTGCAACTTCACCACATCTTCGAACTACCGACCATTATTTCATTCAACGCCTCTCCGACATTGCCACGTACATTGACTACAATTACACCCTTAGATTCTATTTTGCTGTGTGCAACTCTTCTACGGAATCTCTCAAGTTTGAAAGCCACTGTATCCCTGTCCTGAGGGATCAGGACGCCCCCGACTAATCGCCCACGCCATCACCTCGAATCTCCTCCTCACCTACCTACCTACACAATGGACGTCGTTCCCTCCACATCGCCCGACGAGGCCGTGCGCTTATCGGCAAAGCGTACCGCTGAACTCTTTGGCCCCGACTACCTGATGGTCACCCCCTCGGTCGCAAGCGGCTCCATTGGACTTTCCTACCGACGCAAAGCAGAATACGACGATGTCAGAGAATTGCCCCCCGCCCTCGCCGCGAAGCAAGCCGCTGCAGCGGCGGCGGCCGCCAGTGGACGCGCCAAACGACCCAAGATCCAATCTCAGACCAAGGCCTCGGCCGCAGACGGCAGCGGCGCGTCGATGGCGCTGGTCAAGAAGGCCCCCGGGCCGGCGGCGGGCGGCGTCGGTGGTGAGAACGAACCCAAGAGCCTGATCCAGCGACCCTCGGCGACGCGACAACAGAGACCCGACTGGCATGCGCCGTGGAAGCTCATGCGGGTGATATCCGGCCACCTGGGCTGGGTGCGCAGCTTGGCGGTCGAGCCCAACAACGAATGGTTCGCCAGTGGTGCGGGTGACCGGACGATTAAGATCTGGAATCTGGCCACCGGCGCGCTGCGGCTCACCCTCACCGGCCACATCTCGACCGTGCGCGGCCTGGCCGTCTCCCCGCGGCACCCGTACCTCTTTTCCTGCGGTGAGGACAAGATGGTGAAGTGCTGGGACCTCGAGACCAACAAGGTCATCCGCCACTACCACGGCCACCTGAGCGGCGTGTACACGCTGGACCTGCACCCGCGCCTGGACCTCCTCGTCACCGGCGGTCGCGACGGCGTGGCCCGCGTCTGGGACATGCGCACGCGCAGCAACGTCCACGTCCTGTCCGGCCACCGCGGCACCGTCGCCGACGTCAAGTGCCAGGAAGCCGACCCGCAGATCATCACGGGCTCCCTCGACTCGACCGTGCGGCTCTGGGACCTGGCGGCCGGCAAGTCGATGGGCGTGCTGACGCACCACAAGAAGGGCGTCCGCAACATCGTCACCCACCCGCGCGAGTTCACCTTCGCCAGCGCCAGCACCGGCTCCATCAAGCAGTGGAAGTGCCCCGAGGGCGAGTTCATGCAGAACTTCGAGGGCCACAACGCCATCATCAACACCCTCGCCGCCAACGAGGACAACGTCCTCTTCTCCGGCGGCGACAACGGCTCCATGTGCTTCTGGGACTGGAAGACCGGCTACCAGTACCAGACCATCGAGTCCACCGCCCAGCCCGGCTCCCTCGAGGCCGAGGCCGGCATCATGTCCTCCACCTTCGACCGCACGGGTCTGCGCCTCATCACCGGTGAAGCCGACAAGACCATCAAGATCTGGAAGCAGGACGACGAGGCCACCCCCGAGTCGCATCCGGTCACCTGGGCTCCCACCCTCGGTCGGCAGAGGTATTAGTCCCTGTTCAGGAACTATGTACCTCCTTCCCTCACTTACTCATTGCCCCTTTTCTTCTTCCTTCCATCTACCTCTAAACCTCATATCCTCTTTTGGAAAATACCCCCCTTCCGTGGACGTTCAAACATGTTCACGGTACTCGAATGTGACAAAATCTTCTCATGCTTTTCTGCTTCTGCTCTGGTGGTTGCGGATGTTATCCTTCGTCTTTTGTTATTTTATGCACTATGGCGTCCAGCGTTTGTGTTTTGGATTTCTCTTTCTTGCTGGTATACTATGGACTATCTAGATGTACCATAGAATGATAGGCTGAGCACCGATCTCGAGCTCTCAACCTTCCCATATCCCCCGAATTAGCTCGTAAGCTCAAATCAACTTGTGTCTACGTAATCGATCCCGTTATGCCTGTGCTCAAAACCGTGGGTATCATTATTCCTATGCTAATATCGTACAAATACAGTGGTCTATCACGTGTGCTCATCTAAACGAATGGATTACTGCTCAATGCCCAGTCCCAACCCCTTGGCCTCTGCATCATCACAGAACGCCGAGCGCACATCTTCCGCTGCAACCCGCAATCGCACCTTCCCGCTACGGTCACCCCGATGCGGAATGGCCGCGCTGCCGAGAGGTCCCTTCGCGCCCGCACTATGCTCTAACGCCAGCACACCGGAGTTCATGAGCTCCATGGCCGCCGATCCCAGCGCACGCACCCGCGCGCCGCTGCCGCCAACAAGCAAGAACTCCCGGATGCCGACGCCGGCCGCACTGGCGACGGCAACGGCTGCATCGGCGATGCGCTTGGCTTCGTCGATGACGTCGCCGACGGTGGTCTCGGAGATGCCGGTGCGGCGCACCCGGGCGAGGAGGGCGGCGAGGAAGAGTTTCGCGGCCAGGGGGAGACAGCGGAGGGACTGCTGTAGCGGGGTAGAGGTGGCTTCTTGGATGGCTTGTTTGATAGTGGCGATGGTGACGCGCCCGACGATGGGTTTGTTGGTGCCAGTGGTGGTGGATTGGGGTCTCTTCTGCGGGGACGAGGGGAGGAGGGCATTCTTGTTGGACGCCCGGTCTTTGCGAGCGGGGGTTTTACTCGGGGTCGGGGGCATCGACTCGGTGTCGTCTTCGTCGATGGTTTCGAGGGGCTCTTTACGAGCGGCCTCGTTGGCTTGCTGTTCGGCGATCTCGACGGCGCGGCGGCAGATGTCCAGGGCGCGACGCGCATCACCGCTGACGGCGGCGACTTTGCGGCTGGCGAATTGGATGGCATCCGCGTCCACGATGTTACCTGGCACGTTGGCCAGTCGTGTACTTATGATTTCCATTAGGTCGGTGTGTTTGTAGCCAGGGAAGGTGATACGGGTGAGGCCGAGACGGCTGGAGATCTTGTTGCTTAGGGTTCGCTCGGGGAGATCCATGGTATTGGCGACAGCGAGGACGATGAGGCGGGAGTGTCGTAGGGCGGGCCAGTTGAAGAAATTATACATCACCGACTGGTTCTTGGTGACGAGCTGGTCGAGTTCGTCCATCAAGACGACGCAGGACACTCGCCGGGGAGAAGGGTGCGAGAACTCCCGTTCAAGAAGATCTAAAGCGTGAGACGGGGATACACGATCACCTTTGAGGGCCTCCCAGAGCAGAGAGTAAGACTGATGAGGGTCAGTCACCTTCATGCCGTTGATTTCAACGAAGATGAAATCGTCCATCTCTTCCGCCAAGACGGCGGCGTTTAACTGGGCCACCACCTCGCGAACGGTTGCTGTCTTACCCGTTCCGGGTGTGCCAGAGATGTAGATACAAGTACCCGTTCCTTCCATGATGGCTGCGCTGAGATGGCTGTAGACCGCGTCAAACTCCGTCTTCCGGCAAGGGAGTGATTGCGGCACGGTAGACACATGGAGGAGAGTCCGCGCTTGTCGATATGGAGAGGCTAGTTGTGATGGTGAGAGGATACGGGTACCAAGAGGAGTAAACTCGAGTGGCTTTTTGACAACGATCCTATGACGAACTGTGAGACTGTGGCAGGATGTGTTTTGATGCCGTACGTTCACATACCTCTTATGAGTCGGGGTGGTCAAGGATTTCTGACGTCTGGATTGAGGGGTGGCACTCGAAGCCACTTTCTGCCTTTTCCTGGGTGTACTCGGAGCAACATTCTCTTCACTTTTACTTTCCACATACTTCAAGTCGTTAGCTTGAGAAGTTGTGACAAAGCAACCCGTTGTACTCACATCGTTATCAACCTGCTTCCGTTTCTTCGCAACCTTGAGCCCAGACTTGATCATATCAATGAGGTCAAACAGTCTATCCTCTCGATAGACCTCTTCCCAGATGAACTCTTCGGTATATCTTCCCTGAACTTGGTTCACTCCTCTGCGACACACAATGCACTTGTTGAAATCTGCCAGAGCTTCCTTTCCCTTCGGAGGGACACCACCAGGATATTTGGCGTAGAACGCATCCTTCGACATGACCGTGGCTCTGCCGTTGATTGAGGTGAGGGGGTTGACATTGAAGTCCGCCGTCAAGTACTGTTCGTTGGGCAGCGCGTCCGATCGTCTCTTGTTCTTCGTCGACATGAACTCGTCCGGAGAAGCGAACCACATGATATTGGCCGACTTGATGATCTCGTCATCATCATCATCTTGTTCCAAAAATTCTGTGATGATTCCAATCCAATCCTTGCCAGGCTCTGGGGACTTGAGCAGCACCACCTGGCCCAAGGCGCATTCGAACGAGCCCATGCGAGCACCGATTATCTTCCGTGAGCGTTTGGCATTCGGACGGACGGAGCGTCTGCGCATCGATTTCGGGGTATCCTGCGTAGAGTCGGCCGTCGGTTTGCTGTCCTGATCATCAGTGACCTCTGTGTCGTAGATCCACTCCCATGGGTGGTCTTCTTCCCCCAGCTCATCATCGGAGTCGTCTCGGACAAGGCCACCCTTGGTCATCCATAGCTGGGCACGTTTCCGTGCATTGGGCTTGCGCGACTGCAAGCCAGGTGCTTGGCTTGAGGAGTCGGAGGCCATTGTCTTGTGATAGTCGGAGTCCCAGCCAAGGGAGAGACAATTGATCAATTATGATCAATATGTTGATGAGGGAAACCCGAAAAGGCGCGCCTGCCGCGCGCTTGTGCCGCTATTCCCCTTTAGGGTTAGCTCCCGCACTGGGATCTCCGCGCCAATAAGATGACGTGCGCTATACTTCGCTGCTAAACGAGGCAGCAAGCGCTGTTACTGCCTGTCCGTAACACCCCAAGCTTGCAAAAGAGTTATCGATGAAGGAAAATCGCGTTTGCAGGTATATTTTGACAGTCTTCAAAGTCCATGGATACAGCTCCTGGTGACATTCCGGAGAAGGCAAGCACCAACTTCACTTTTCTTTGCTCCAGCGGTGAATGCAGGCTGCCGAGACAGCTACTGGGCGATTGGATTACAAGCAGTTTCTCCTTTTGATTAATTCTTACACTGGCCAATTGCACGTATTAAACAGAATATTGGCCTGTGAAGGCCGCTGAGTGCTGTTTGTCTTGTGGCTGTTGTGCCCCTCTGTTCTTCCTCTTCGTTGCCCCTCCCCCCTCAAGTCACTCCGGTAAGTTCCCACTCTGTTGGCATCTTTCTTCTCTTCTTCTCCCATCTAATTACACCTCCCCGTCAGCAGGCGTCAGCTCCGTTGCTCATCCACTCAATATTAGTTCTTCATTCATCCTTCTCGGTCTTTGATCAATTTGTTCAGTGAGTGCTTCAGTCGAGGAGTATCCCCTCAGTACTCACCCCAATTTTGGCTGGAAGGTCTCGCTCAACATGGAGTAAGCTGTCCTGTTGCCGTCAGATCAAGAATAGAATACTAATCAATCACCAGCTTCGAGGCCTCTGGAGCCAAAGGTAAAGTTGTCTGAGCCCTGCTGGTTCCATGCTCCGGAGCAAGATACTGATCCTCTACTCTTAGAATGGGCTCTGCCCGGTTACGGACGACCAGGCCCTCAAAAGATCCCGTTTGAGACCGAAGCGTCACACGTGCAAAACATTGCATCACAGCCTGAGTCCACTCCCGGAGCCGAGCATGTTCATGAGGCATCTGTCACATCTGTGAACAAGAACACTACATGTCACAACCCCGCCCCTGCCCGAGAAACAGCTCGCGCTCACAGAGGACGCGGTGCTTCAAGAGGCAAAAGAGGCTCATCTTCGCCCCAGACCCATCTTCCCGGGGAGTCCCCCGCGAAGTCTCAATGGAGAAATGGCGCCCAGCCTGCAGGTAAGGATTATTCTCTCGTCCAGCTTGACTCAAACTAATATCGGTTGGTGCAGGAACTATCAGGCTTCCACGCACTTTCAAAGAGATCAGAGATTCGTAAGTATTAATTCCCAAGACAAGACATGAAGTAAGTGCTGACTGACTAGATTTTGCACTGCGGCTCGGTCGGTCTCATCTCGACGCCCATTTGGACAGCAGGGACGCCATGATGTCTTCGAAGACATCTGTCGAAAGACCGGAGCCTACGTCGACCCACCCGCCGGTAATCATGATGTATGTGTCTTGCCCAACTGACATTTGTCCAAATGACTACTAGATAGCTGATGTATATAGGTGATTCATCTCTGGGGGGCATCATATCAGGTCTCTGAGGCTACCAATCTCATTCAGAGCATTCTTGCTAGATGCGACACCATTACCATGCCCAAGAAAAGGGAATGGACGAAGACCTCTGCCTATTCTGCTGGGAAGGAGGATCTTGCGGATCAACTTGAGCTAGAAGATGCCTTGATTCTCGCATACCGGAAGGCACCTGAGCTCGACTTTATGTTCTCTGAGAAGGTTAGTAAAGAGTTGTCATGACAACTACCAAATCAATCTTCAATCTTCTGACCTCAAGCTCTCAACTAGTTACTCTTTCTGTGGCCGAAGGAGGGTCCCTCCATGCGTGATGCCCTTGGCACCGACCTGGAAGCTCTTGATCCTATTCGTATTAGGTTCACGTGTCACCTGTTCGTCGACAAGGAATTGCCTGATCACATCTGCGCTCTCGGCTACGAGCAAGCCAAAATTGGCCAGCTTGTCCAGCTCCTGCGCAACAAATGGGCCGAGATTATGGCAAACAGTCTCGTCAAGTCCAAAATCTACTTGATTGAGCCCCTTGGAAGCGGCCATGGTGAGGTCTCCGCGAGAAAAGAGGCGGGCTTTGTTAGACCACTTTTTCGCACAATTCCAATGAGCAAGGCCGATATGGATAGTTGGCCGGGCCGAGCTGAGCTGATCCGATCAAGGAACAATGCCCATCTTCTCAAAGTGATTGACAAATGCTTGAAAAGTGTAATTTACGTGCGTGGACACCTTCGCATGAGAGCCAATATCGGCTTGTTCGTGCTCGATTACTACCGTCAGCCATCGCAGGGAAAACCGGCGTGGGGCTTTGAGGAATTCCGTGAGATGTTGTTCCATGAGAATACGAAGGGTCGCCTGATCCCAGGGTACGCGAGTGATCTTTTCTTGTCCTAAATCCGTGATCCAGAGCTGACAAGTTAACAGTCTGAAGATCGACCAGTCTGTGTTGCTTCCTAGACTGCTTTCTGCCACCAATCTTCTTGAGCCGTACGACCGTACCATGGACTCCCTGAAACAGCCCGAGCCAGCATTCTCTGTGAACTTCGAATTCTCCGGTCAAAAGAATTCTCTGCTACGCTTGGAGGCCGAGTTCGCGAAATGTTCTGGAGCACGCGATTACGCAATGACGCAAAGCCGCTGGCTTAAGCCACGCAAGCTCGGCCAAGTTAAGGACTCGCGCTCACCCTTGCAGGTTGGAATCATCGACTTTGAAAGGTGAGTCTGTCCGACATGCTTTGTGTCCAGTATCCTGTTCCGCGATTCTAATCATCGTGATAGGTCTGATTGGCAGCTGGAAATTGCATCGCTGGAGTTCTATGAAGCAACTGCAATCGAGAGAGCTTTACGCGAATTCTCCCACACGATCAATTTCAAGAGCAACGATGTTATGGGTGACATCTCGGCTAATCCTGTTCGCAAAGTCATCTTCCAAGCCTCAGCACCAGTCTCCCGCTTCATCGAGAAGACGGCTATTCGTTACCGCCTGAAGGGGACCAGATATATTCTGGAGATAGCGCGATACGACGAATACACCCGAACCTCCGCAAATGATTCGGCTTCTCTGAACCTGCTGGCACCCTTTGGAAAACCTCGAGTTTCTTGGGGAGCATCGGTCTTCGACTTCACTTGGGACAATTTGCTGGGTAAACATGCCAATATGCCCGTGGGACATGCAGCCAAGTACGATCCGAATCTTCAGACCTTTTTCCCGGCCGCAAATGAGTCGGAGGACAAGTCCCAGGGTCTCTGGGAATTCATCGATCTGATCAAACGGGTTGCAGCCCTTCTAAGGTCCGGACCGCCCCGCACCCTTCCAGCCACCGGAAGTGTCAAGGCTAAGTCTGATGATCGTTCGACAAGCCCGGCCTCCAGCGGCAATGCTAGAGCTCTAGATGCAGACCTCGGGACTTTGTTCTAAGTCACCAGGACGACTGCCCTTCGGGGTAGTGTGGAGAGCTACGTTCTCTTTTTCAGAATGTTGTTTTAATACCATGGCAAGAGGATCGATTAATGCCTGTTTTTTTTGTTCTTTGCTTTGTTTCTGTACCTAATTCAAGTGGCATATCAACTAACCTGCACCGGCGGTAGCGGAAGCGGAGGATGCAGCCCCTTCGGCCAGCAATTTCTGTCTCAAAGCTGATCACGGAAGAGTTAGCGGTAGTAATGGTAATAATATGAAATTGATGTGAATTTTCAGAAACTCTTTGCCGGATGGCTGACAAGTAGGGCAACGCAACATACCATCTTCAAAGAGCCTCTGCTGCTGACTCTTAGTCTGTACAATCTTCTCCAACTCGGTGAGGTTGGTCTCCAGATCCTTGACCTTATTCTCGTAGAACTCGATGGCTTTGGGAGCAGTCTAGCGAGAAAAACAAATTAGCCCACGCGTTCCACCACTTCCAAAAATTCAAGCTCCCAAATCATCCCCAGTATCATCCCAAACCCAATCATTCCCCAACCCATCCCAGCCCAAAGCAACCAACTCCCACAAAAAAAGGGGGGAGGAAATACCTTCTCAACATAAAACCCCGTCCCGACATCAACGAGCACCTTCTCCCGATCCGCCAGTCTGCCGCGCACGTACAGCGAGCTCGTCAGCGGCACCAGAATCTCCTGGTCCGGGCCCCCCGCGGTGCCCTTCTTGGCCGACCCGACCACCCCCTCGTTGATGGAGCGCACGCAGTCCCGGAACTTCAGCTGGGCGGCGCGCAGCTTCGCGTGCGAGGTCGTCAGGTGCTCGAGTTCCGAGGAGAGGCGGGTCTGTAGGGCGCGGAGTTGGGGGACGCTCAGGGAGGCAATGTTTACTTTTAATTTCCGGGGGAGTAAGGTTAGTATGGGTGGTTTTGGTGGGGGGAGGGGATTGGGGTGTGGGGAGTGGACGTACCTGAGCCTGGTGGGGGGTCGGAGGAGTTGGGTTCGGACATTTCGGGGGTGTTGTGTCTGTCTGTCTGTCGAGTTTGGATTATGGGTGGGATGAAGAGGTGAGATGGTTGTAATGTGGGTCGTGGGAGCGCTGGTGTAGGCGCTGGTTTACTGCACAGCAAACCTGAACTCGTAGCTTGGGGTTGGAGTGCGGGTGAAGCTTGGTTTGCGGCTGCGGTTTGTAGACTATGGGAGGTGGTAGGTGGGGGGGGATTGATTTGTTGGTTTATTTCTTTTGTGCTGGGGTTGTGATGCTTAGTAATTGTGCAGTCAATTCTATTCTACATTGATGGCTGTGCCAAGGTTGCCAGCCGGAGCCAATGGCTGTGCGCGATTGTACAGGAACTCTTTATCGGATGAGGTACGAGACTATTTGCATTGCAGATAGCTACTGTTAGAGAAATGCTTGGATCTTGAGCGTTATAGATCTCTTTCACTACAATTGGAACCAATGCTGCCGCATCTTGTAGGCTCTAGCTCATGCTTCGCTGTCGGCTCCTTCAGAAGTATATCCAGAACAAAACAGCACGATAGCCCTCTGTAGCCTCCCCACCATCACCTATAGCTCCGCCCACAGTCACCATAAACCACTCAATCTCCTTCAGAGCTACAGGAGCAACTACCTCTCCACCCGGCGGTTATCCTCGATAAAGCACTCTTCATACCCAACAGTCCTCTGGCACGACCGGACTGAAATGAACTTCTCCTCGTCGGGGACGACCACCTCCCTGTAGAACGGGTCGTTGAGCGCGTTGGCGATGCAGTCCAGGGACGGCACGTAGAGCTGAGCGTGACCATCCCAGTCCGAGATGGAATCGGCACCCAGAAACTCCCACAGGGCGGTGGCTTTGGCGCGGAGTTCGGGCAGTTGGTGGTACTATACAGTACATATATTAGACCAGGCCTTGGAGAAACAAACATAAAAACGGTAAACAGAAAGATGCTTTCAAATTTGAGAGGGCAGGAGAGGCCAGGTACCATACCTGGACATATCTGATCACCCCGTGACGGCGCAGCCAGGCACTGACGAGCGGTTCGTGGACATGGGTCCAGTGATGGTGGAATTCCTCGTGGGTGATGTCGTTGCGCTTCTTGAGGAGGAGGGTTAGGCGGATGAGGGGCTTGGGGGTTGGTGCCATTTTCCTCGAGGGGTGGGTTGTTGAGTTAGAGCAAAGTAAAGTGGGTTGGTTGTTGAGTGGTGAAGTGCCGTGGTGCAGCGAAGATAATAGCGATTCGTGCCGCTGAAATAACCGCGGTATTTGGCAAGATGACGAACTTACTGGTCATTCTGGATTTGCAGTTCCTTCTCTCTATGGTAAATATACAACATAGTTATCCGTGCGTAAGCATTGGTGAGCGGGTCTGTCCATGGCTTCTTTCCCGGTTTCCAGTTTTCTCCAAATATCTCCAATTTTGGAGAAAAGGTCCATTCGGGACAATTTGTTCAGCACGGTTGGAAGATTGCGGGAGTTCGCGGATAAGGATCTTAGGGTGGTGATTACTGTCAGCTTAAAATAAATCGTTGCTGGTAGGCAATTATGGACCCAGGTCAGTACCAGCGTGGCTGGTTGTGGGACTGTAGGCCGAGGGTCCAGTGGAGGGACGCATCAACTACATCTGTGATCCCAGAGTTGCCATATTATGACAGAGATGATAAGATGAGAATTAAATACATTGAAAGTAGTCTGAATCTCCGCCACATGTATACCCTCCCACTCTGATCCACTACTCACACATCATCACTGACAAAGCTGCTCCAAAATCTCAGCCGTCTCATTGGGCATACTCAGAAACGGCGAGTGGCCACTCTTCAACCGGAAAACTTGAGGGTCAATCAGAGACCGGATCATGTGATCCTGGATCGCAGGCGGAAGCGCTTGGTCCTCATCGCAGACAATATACGCACTTGGAATCGTACGCCACGGCTCGTCGGTACTTGGCTCAAGAAATGCAGCGAGGCAGATGTGGCCGTGCAAAGCTGCCGATAACTTCTCTTTGACTTCGGCCGGCACATCTTGGATCAAGTCTACGGCCGGGTCGCGGCGAACATAGTTTCCCTGGCGGATATTTTAGTAAGGTATTCCGTCGCGATCGCAGTGAAAAGCTCACCTGGACGAGCATCCACGGCCAGAGTTCCCCATTGATCATGTCCTTCAGGCTCCTCCCTCGGGGCGCGACAAATGCAGCCATGTAGACCAAGCGGATCACACCTCCGGACTTGCCAGCCTGCGTGCGTTCCTCCAAGCCCAGACCCGTAGATGCAGCAGAGATGACCATGCCACCGTAGGAATGACCAACTAAGAGGATTCTCTTGCCTTGGTCGGCTAGGTCGGCCAAGATTTGACGGAGGTGTTTCGAATCGTCGCGCAGTCCTTTGTTGGGAGGTTCGGCACCGTTGAAGAGATGGTCTATCCCTCTGGGATAATAGTTGACGGAACTCATCGTACGCACTGCTGGGGTTCCAGGCCCCGGGGGGAAAAACAACAATGGTGTTGCTCGGGACCCTCATCATTGATTGATGGAGGAGAGAAATTTGCGCTGTCAGGGGTTCAATTTAGCTTGAGATAGTTTCTGAAGAGTAAAGAAATAATTAGGAGGGGCTGTAATGCCGTATTTATGAGAGAGACTGGGACAAGCCAGCCAATTTGTAGCCATTAGAGGCTTCAAGGTCATCCGATTGTCGCATGGCTTGGAGGACTGTCAGGGCATGTATGGACGTCATCTGTTTGTCAAAGCTCTTCCAGTCTTCCTGTGTCCTTGGAATAGGTATTTGCTCCGGGAATAGCGAGGGATTGTCTCTGATCTTGTGCATGACCGTATGAGTCTGGGAGGGTTTGTGAAGTGGTGTTGGAGAAGTTGGGGAGATGTTGGGGGTTTTGGGGAAGTAGTCACCCAAGCAAAACTACTGCCATCTGTTTTGGAGGAATCGGAACATCAGTCAAGCTTGGGTCGTAATGCGTGAAACCCCTTTGCAACCTAAGGGTCTTCTAGGAGTCTATTGAGAAGCTCTTTTCAAGTATTAAGCGCTTCCACTGACCCCGTTCGTACGGCTTATTTCAGGTTTCTTTTTGTGCAGTGCTATTGCTAGAGCTGCATGGCAGAACCAAGGCTGTGGCATTCTCTTCTGTTCTCACCAAGAAAAAAGGTAGGGGTCTCTAGTCCTTATGATGACTGTCTCGCAATTTATTCTATAATTCGAGCATCCTATCCTACTGTGCCGAACTGGTACAAAAGACAATGCCTTGCAGGACATGAAGTCTCCACAAACAGGCACAAGATACATGCTATATTGATGCAGTAATCTGAGAGGCATACCAGATATGAACCTTCAAGATGGGTGAATGGTACAAGTATGTACAAAAGAGAAGAAGGCACATGCGTCGTAGTGAGGAGTCAAGTAGATGGTTCATTGTCCATCCATTAGTTATATCAGTTAAGGCGCAGCTTACTCACTATACAGTGCACTGAATAAAATTAACTCCCAGAGCGAAGTAAACGTCAACAAAGTGATCAACAAGTCTAAAAGTACAAAACGTAGTCACAAAAAGATACATAAGAATAATAAATCCATTATCGAAAACATCATAATATGCATAACCTCATTTCCCTAATCATCACCTAGCGATCCTCCTCCCACCCAGTCAACAACTGATACTCCTGCAACGGCAACCAATACTGCTGCTGCCGAAAGAGGTTCATGAGCGGCAAGAACAACGGATGCTCGAGCCCCAGCCTAGCGGGATTCTTAGCAGAATTCCTAGCAGTGAAGTCTGTGGCAGCCAGTTTCTCCGCCTCGTCCTGCAGCCGATACCACCGCGTGACCTCCTCCCACTCCACCCAGCGCCACTCGCGGCACTTGTTGGGCTCCATGACGGGCGGCGGGGCCCTGCAATCCTCGCGCCGCGTCGGCGTGCACCCCAGGTAGATGGTGATGTAGTGCTTGTTCTCGGCGGCCATCACGTCGTTGGTGGCCGTCAGGAAGCGGAGCCCCGAAACGGCCAGGTTGGTCTCCTCGAGGACCTCGCGGGCGGCGCACGCGGCCCACGTCTCGCCGGGCTCCAGGTGGCCCCCCGGCAGGGCCCAGGTGCCGGCGCCGTGGCTGCCTTTGCGTTCGCCCAGCAGGACTTGGTTGGCGCGCCCGAAGATGAGGACGGCGATGCCGACGCGGGGGATGGTTGTCACCGCTGGCGGGGCGGCGGTGGTGGTGGGGTCAGAATCTGGTGTTGTGGACATGGTTGTCGGTAATTTTTAAGAGGTGCGTGTGTGTTTGTGTGTGTGAAAAGGATGAAGATCGATCGATTGGTGTTGATCGGTCAAGTATTGATGGGCTTGGTGAGTTGCGTCAATCTAGTGGATTGATCGGTCGCCTTATATAGTTGAGGTTTGGTGATTCTTTTCCAGGCACGGTGAACAATACCCAGCACCCGGGGATGCCAAGAGTTCAATAGTTCCAGGCAGACTGCCTAAAACTTCTTTATGCTCTGACCTTTCAATGATAGATCTCACCAGTGATCTAAGAAGTTGACTCATCTTCTTTATCAGCACATTTGAAAGGAGTGGGGTATAATTTGCGGTCAATCTACTTCTAATTTTTCTTTGAATTGCCTTTCTATCTTACAAAGCTCCGTGCCACTCAGCCTCGGGAAGAACACAGCATAGCCCCGATCTCGGATATCAGCATAGCCTACAACCCACGCGAAAGCGCTTACAATCGCTGCAGCAGAGATTGCACAAACGCCGGAAGAGCCTTAAGTGTGACATCCTCACGCACGCTCAGCCGACGGCATTGCACCTCCAAGGTTTGCTGTTTCTTCCATCCCTTACCAACCACAATGATGACCGGGTATCCGATCAGGTCCGCATCGCCGAGCTTCCAGCCCATTTGCTTGTCGCGATCATCCAGAATCACATCCAAGGCAGAAGTAGGCGCCACGGTCAGTGCGTCGTAGACCTTCTCCGCTTCCGCCTCGAGCCCCTTGCCCGGCACGATGATGACTTCGTACGGCGCGATGACGCGAGGCCAGTTCAGTCCCTTGCCGTCCGCCAGGCTGTCCGCTACCGCAGTAATCATGCGCGAGACGCCGATTCCGTGGCAGCCCATCTCCATGGGTACGGTCTGGGGGCCGGATTTGTTGCTGTCTTTGTTCTTGGGCATAGCAGATTGGTCGACCATCACGGTGGCCTTGAGGACATCGCTGTAGCGGGCGCCTAGATGGAATGTGTGACCGAGCTCGACTGCCTTGTGCGTCTGTGCCAGACCCTCGCCGCATTTGGAGCATCGGTCGCCCTCGTGGACCCGCACCAAGTTGAGATGGCTGTTCGTGCCTGGGAAGCGATCCAGCTTCGAGAAATCCACGTCCTCCGCTGTGCAGCCGACCTCCTCCAACGTGTCGGTAAGCGGGGGGCGCTTGTATGCGCGCACGCGCGAGTCATACAGATCCACGATCCGCGGGCGCTGAGCGGAAGCCTTGTGGAGCTTGACGTGCGTGGCCCATTGCTGGAGCGGGTTCTCGACGCTGATGTCGATTTCCATCCCAGCGGCCTCGGCGATGGACTTGACGGCGTGGGAGTTCACCTCTCTCTCCACAGGGCTTTCTTGGATGGTGTACTGCGGAAACCAGCACCGCAGCAGCGTGTTCTTGTCTTTCGAGATGGACATCCACAGACCGACTGAGACGGCGGGCGTGGCCTCACCGGAGTTCTCACCGGTGTCGAAGCCAGGTCTCTGATGGGTCTGAGGCTGTTCGTCCACGCCAGCGTGAGCCTTTCCGTCCGCGAGCTCCTCGTTATACACATTGTCGCAACTGGTGCAGCTGATGACTGTGTCTTCACCCTTCGCACTGGGGAAGTGGAACTCGTGGCTCAGGCTCCCGCCCATATTACCCGAGTCCGCAGCAGCGACCAGATAGGGGATTTTGAGCTCGTCGAAAAGCCGTGTGTAGGCGCCTTTGACAGCCACGTAAGTCTGGAGAGCGGTCTCGGGACTGTAGTCGAACGTGTACATGTCTTTCATGATGAATTCTCGACCGCGAAGAAGACCCTGCCGGGGTCTCTGCTCATCTCTGTATTTTCTCGCTATTCTACGGTTAGACTTGGTCGAGAAGCGTGGGAAAGCTTTACTGACAAATCTGGTACACGCGCACGGGCAGATCTCGGTACGACTTGGTAAGACTCCCGACAAGAGTTGTAATCTCCTCTTCATGAGTGGGCGCGAGAATGAAGCGTGCTTCTTTGCGGTCAAGGAAACGGAAGACCTGCCGGTTGATTAGAGAGAGCTCACAGCTGAGAAGAGAGCAAGAGGCTTACATCCGACCCCTCTTTGAGGCGTCCCGATTGCTCCCAGAGCTCTTGGGATGATATCGACGAGAGTGACACCTTAGATGCACCTAATTATTATGAATTAGACGCCTCAGTAGGAACACAACAATCATGATGCCGTAGACTTACCGACTGACTGCATGTGCTTATCTATGAGTCTCTCAAGCTTATCCTGCACGCGCAACCCCAATGGCAGCATGTGAAAAATGCCCGCGTACGCCTATGCATTTGATTAGCCCAGTACTTGCCAAGACGAGAGCTGACAGAACCTGTCGCAAGAAGCCACCCCTCACTAGGAGGTCATTTGTGTCCTCTGTGTAGCGTCAGTTGCATAGAACGTGATCGATGATTCAGTTTAGTAGCGTACCTCTTTCACCCTCCACCGGCTTCTTCGTGATACCTCCCGTCGGAATCCAAAAATTCGATATGCGAGTCCTGCCATCGGTCTGACAGTATGACTAGTTAGATCTTATACAAGCTATGGCGGAAGATACCTCATACATGAAAGGCGTTCTTGGACGTTCTATACCCGAATTGAATGACGCTAAGGTGCACTCGAGAGACTCCGGGCGCTCGGCCCACTGTAGGGCGTATGCGCGAGAACATGAAGAGCCAAAATCCCGAAGCACAGCCTCGAGGTGTTTTCCAACGGGGAAAGAGATATTCACATCTCCGCTGGCAATGCGCGGCAATCCCCAAGAAAGAAGCGCGGTTCTTATCGGCCCAGGCACTAAACCCAATGGGAATAATTGACGTGGTCCGAGCGTCGGGCAGCCAGTACTACTACGGGCAAATCGGCCCGCCCATTTCTCCGGCGGCCTGGAAAGAAGCGGATCCCCCATAATTTTTAGGGCGGCAGAAAAAAAGTTGAAGGAGAGCAAGCATTTTGGCCATTCATCCCACCCTGTCAATATGGCCAAAGGCAATAAGGGCAAAGGCTCCTCCTCCTCTGGAGCGAACAACATCCCTCTAGGTAAGGGTGTTGGTGGCGGTGCTGCCGCCAAAAATCCCACCCCTGCCGCTGAGTCTCTCCCCCAGTTGGAGGAGAGTGCATTCGCCGGCTTGCGACAGAAGATCGAACAGCGCTTGAAGGATCAGAACAACGCCAAGCAGAAGTCGAAGAACGGCAAAGGAAAGTCGGCACCGGCTGATACCCCCAAGAAGAACCAGCCGGTTGCGTCGAAACCTCAGCCGAAGCAGACGTCCGCCGACGATAAGAACAACAAGGGAAAGAAGCGCGATCGCAATGGTGATGTGATTGCTGGGGAGGCGACGAAGGACATTGGAAAGGGAAAGCCGAAGAGCAAGGAGGATGGCGACGATGTTCTACGGCAGGAGATTCTGGCCCTGGGGGGTACGGAAGAGGACTTGGATCTCTTGGCCGGTGTTGACTCCGAGTCCGAGGTTGAGGATGCCACCGAGAAGAAATCCAAGGGCAAGTCTGAGGATGACATCCTGAGGAAGGAGCTGGCTAGCATGCTGGCTGCCGCAGGCCAGGTGGTTCCGGATGACCTTGAAGACGACGAAGTTGAAGGGGAAGATGAAGAGGAAGAGGAAGAGGAAGATGAAGACGAAGAGACTGGAGGCATCGAAGTCGATGCTGAAGATGATGAGGAGGACGTGGGAGAGGACGAAGAAGATGCCTCAGAGGATGAACCTCCCACGCCAGCCCCGAAGGAGGACAAGAAGGCCGTCAAGCAGGCCGCTCCTGAGAACATCTTCCCGAAGGAGTTCTCCAAATTGGTGAGTCAACTCATCCATGTTTCCGGCTAAACATGCTGACCAGACGATCAGTCCGTTCCTCCGAGGTCCGACTGGTTCATGATCGAACTTCCACCCATTGCGAAGAAGGAATCGAACCCTGTTGCCCGCCACCTGATCGAGCGATTCCACACTTACGCAAACTCGCTTCTCGAAAAGGAGGCTAAAGAATACGCAGACGCGCAAGCAGCTTCTGCCTCTTCATCCCACAAGTTCTACAGTACTATTATGTCCACTGGTACGCTTAGCGATAAGATCTCCGCTTTGACGCTTGCCGTACAAGAATCGCCCCTTCACAACACCAAGGCTCTGGAGAACTTGATTGCCCTCGGAAAGAAGCGCAGTCGTGCTCAGGCCGTTGAAGTTCTTCGGTCGCTCAAAGATATGTTCGCCCAGGGAACCATCTTGCCCAGCGATCGCAGACTCCGGGCCTTCGCCAACCAGCCATCGCTTGTGGCTGCCTTGCAAGGTGTGAGCAACCGCTGGGCTGAGGGAGATGCTCTTCCCAATGGTCTTCAGAACAGCCACCTGATCGTCTGGGCCTACGAACATTTCCTAAAGGATCAGTACTTCGAGGTTCTCAAGATTCTCGAAGTCTGGTGCAACGACGAGATCGATTTCTCTCGCTCTCGCGCTGTCAGCTACGTCTACGAACTGTTGAAGGAGAAGCCTGAGCAGGAGACGAATCTGTTGCGCCTGTTGGTGAACAAGCTTGGTGACACGTCTAAGAAGATTGCCTCGCGGGCCTCTTACCTACTTTTGCAACTCGAGCAGGCGCATCCTCTCATGAAGTCCACGATTATTTCAGCTGTTGAGGAGGTCCTCTTCCGGCCTGGTCAAAGCCAGCACGCCAAGTATTATGCTATCATCTCGCTCAACCAGACGGTCCTGAGTGTCAAGGAGGAGAAGGTCGCTGAGAAATTGCTCGACATCTATTTTGCCCTCTTCGTTTCGCTATTGAAGCCTGCCAAGGAAGACAAGGGCAAGGGTTACAAGGGCAAGAGGCATGGCAAATTCGGAAACAAGGGCAAGGGCAAGGGCAAGGACGACGACAAGGGTCAGGCGCAAACTGAAGAGATGCAAGACAAGTTGACATCCGCGGTCTTGACCGGTGTGAACCGAGCTTATCCCTTTACAAGCTCGGACAGTGAACG